ACCCTAAACCCAAACCCAAACCCAAACCCAAACCCAAACCCAAACCCAAACCCAAACCCAAACCCAAACCCAAACCCAAACCCAAACCCAAACCCAAACCCAAACCCAAGCCCAAGCCCAAGCCCAAGCCCAAGCCCAAGCCCAAGCCCAAGCCCAAGCCCAAGCCCAAGCCCAAGCCCAAGCCCAAGCCCAAGCCCAAGCCCAAGCCCAAGCCCAAGCCCAAGCCCAAGCCCAAGCCCAAGCCCAAGCCCAAGCCCAAGCCCAAGCCCAAGCCCAAGCCCAAGCCCAAGCCCAAGCCCAAGCCCAAGCCCAAGCCCAAGCCCAAGCCCAAGCCCAAGCCCAAGCCCAAGCCCAAACCCAAGCCCAAGCCCAAGCCCAAGCCCAAGCCCAAGCCCAAGCCCAAGCCCAAGCCCAAGCCCAAGCCCAAGCCCAAGCCCAAGCCCAAGCCCAAGCCCAAGCCCAAGCCCAAGCCCAAGCCCAAGCCCAAGCCCAAGCCCAAGCCCAAGCCCAAGCCCAAGCCCAAGCCCAAGCCCAAGCCCAAGCCCAAGCCCAAGCCCAAGCCCAAGCCCAAGCCTGAGCCCAAGCCCAAGCCCAAGCCCAAGCCCAAGCCTGAGCCCAAGCCCAAGCCCAAGCCCAAGCCCAAGCCCAAGCCCAAGCCCAAGCCCAAGCCAAGCCCAAGCCCAAGCCCAAGCCCAAGCCCAAGCCCAAGCCCAAGCCCAAGCCCAAGCCCAAGCCCAAGCCCAAGCCCAAGCCCAAGCCCAAGCCCAAGCCCAAGCCCAAGCCCAAGCCCAAGCCCAAGCCCAAGCCCAAGCCCAAGCCCAAGCCCAAGCCCAAGCCCAAGCCCAAGCCCAAGCCCAAGCCCAAGCCCAAGCCCAAGCCCAAGCCCAAGCCCAAGCCCAAGCCCAAGCCCAAGCCCAAGCCCAAGCCCAAGCCCAAGCCCAAGCCCAAGCCCAAGCCCAAGCCCAAGCCCAAGCCCAAGCCCAAGCCCAAGCCCAAGCCCAAGCCCAAGCCCAAGCCCAAGCCCAAGCCCAAGCCCAAGCCCAAGCCCAAGCCCAAGCCCAAGCCCAAGCCCAAGCCCAAGCCCAAGCCCAAGCCCAAGCCCAAGCCAAAGCCCAAGCCCAAGCCCAAGCCCAAGCCCAAGCCCAAGCCCAAGCCCAAGCCCAAGCCCAAGCCCAAGCCCAAGCCCAAGCCCAAGCCCAAGCCCAAGCCCAAGCCCAAGCCCAAGCCCAAGCCCAAGCCCAAGCCCAAGCCCAAGCCCAAGCCCAAGCCCAAGCCCAAGCCCAAGCCCAAGCCCAAGCCCAAGCCCAAGCCCAAGCCCAAGCCCAAGCCCAAGCCCAAGCCCAAGCCCAAGCCCAAGCCCAAGCCCAAGCCCAAGCCCAAGCCCAAGCCCAAGCCCAAGCCCAAGCCCAAGCCCAAGCCCAAGCCCAAGCCCAAGCCCAAGCCCAAGCCCAAGCCCAAGCCCAAGCCCAAGCCCAAGCCCAAGCCCAAGCCCAAGCCCAAGCCCAAGCCCAAGCCCAAGCCCAAGCCCAAGCCCAAGCCCAAGCCCAAGCCCAAGCCCAAGCCCAAGCCCAAGCCCAAGCCCAAGCCCAAGCCCAAGCCCAAGCCCAAGCCCAAGCCCAAGCCCAAGCCCAATCCCAAGCCCAAGCCCAAGCCCAAGCCCAAGCCCAAGCCCAAGCCCAAGCCCAAGCCCAAGCCCAAGCCCAAGCCCAAGCCCAAGCCCAAGCCCAAGCCCAAGCCCAAGCCCAAGCCCACGCCCAAGCCCAAGCCCAAGCCCAAGCCCAAGCCCAAGCCCAAGCCCAAGCCCAAGCCCAAGCCCAAGCCCAAGCCCAAGCCCAAGCCCAAGCCCAAGCCCAAGCCCAAGCCCAAGCCCAAGCCCAAGCCCAAGCCCAAGCCCAAGCCCAAGCCCAAACCCAAACCCAAACCCAAACCCAAACCCAAACCCAAACCCAAACCCAAACCCAAACCCAAACCCAAACCTAAACCTAAACCTAAACCTAAACCTAAACCTAAACCTAAACCTAAACCTAAACCTAAACCTAAACCTAAACCTAAACCTAAACCTAAACCTAAACCTAAACCTAAACCTAAACCTAAACCTAAACCTAAACCTAAACCTAAACCTAAACCTAAACCTAAACCTAAACCTAAACCTAAACCTAAACCTAAACCTAAACCTAAACCTAAACCTAAACCTAAACCTAAACCTAAACCTAAACCTAAACCTAAACCTAAACCTAAACCTAAACCTAAACCTAAACCTAAACCTAAACCTAAACCTAAACCTAAACCTAAACCTAAACCTAAACCTAAACCTAAACCTAAACCTAAACCTAAACCTAAACCTAAACCTAAACCTAAACCGGAGGTTTAACACGCTCTGAGAGAGATGTATGCAATGGAGAGGTTGTCATCGTAGCGACGTGTAGATTCCTTTTGGCTCCATCTAGCGTGCAATGGCCAAAGTGCGTGAGATATGTATTCAGTGTAGGAGTTGTTATCGTAGTGACTTGCACAATCCTTGTGGTTTCATCTAGCTTGCAATGGCCGAAGTGGAAGATGTAACATTTACGCTTATGTTGAAGTTTACATTGCATCATCGTATACATACATATATATATATATTTCATATTCCTCCATCTAGCGTGTAATATTTAAATATAGCATTCTTTACTCGTTATTTGACTATTATACGTTAGATGGAGCTACATTATCGTGTGGGCCGGTGACTCATAGCCATCAAAGTCGAGAAAACGGAAAAAAAAAAAAAAAAAAAAAAAAAAAAAAAAAAAAAAACTGTCCAGATTCGCCTGTATCCATTGACTCCCTGCAATGCAACTGCAACGTCACTCCATATGGTGGGTTGGGGGGGTCCTTTGTAATGGATGATAATGGAATGGTAACCCCACCCGTGCTATCGGTATACACCGGCGGAGCACCAGTGAAAGATAATAGATGAGGATGAAGTAGGTCATCGTGACGAATTCAACAGGAATTATTCACGATGGTTTCCAGGGAGAACCACGTGGAGGTCGACCTAATACCATGTCCATTTGTACCATTTTGACTTGTAAAATTGTAAAATTTGGAATTCTCTCTTAACCACGTTTCAATCAGCAAACAAACATTAACATCATTTTCAAGAATGAAGTTAATCAATATAGGCTTTTGGTTATAAATAATTTATATATTGTACTGAGATATTCTAGTAAATTACTTATTTATTTTTAAGACTTTTAATTAATGTGTCTTTAATAATTGTGGATGTCAGAACCCTGCCGTCATTCCCCAAGGAAACCAAGGCGTCATTTAGTCTATTAGAAATACGATCACTTTTAATGATTTTGTCGATGAGTTCTTTATTTTCGTTCTCAGAAGTGGGTAATGAGGATTTTACATTGGATGATTTAATATTTATTTATTGACTATTAATATTATATCGTAACTCAGGAAAACGTATCACGGTTTTTTGTAATATTATTTGGGTCCACTGTTTTTAAGGCAACTGTGGGCGACAAAGGAAAACCAGGAATGGATAGTAGAAATAAGTATATGTATAATGGTCAAAGGAATTTAGAAGACTAGGGCCGTAAAGGAAAGCCAAAAGGAAAACAATAGATATGCGTGTCAATTTCGAATTTGGTAAATAATAATATATAGCTATAAATAATATTAGCATGTGGCCTGTACTCCACAGCAACCACTTGTGCATATTTAACTTCATTGTTTTTTTTTTTTAAATCTTTAACTATATAATCTCTCGAGATAGCAACGTACTGACCTCCACAGTTAATACATTGTATGACTGTCTCTGCTTTACAGTCTGAAAAGTGGTGGTCTCCTGCGCAAACTGAAAATTTTTTTTTTTGAAGATTTGCAAAACTTGATTTGCAAAGCTCCATGATTAAATTTAAAACATTTTAGCACTGTAAGAGAGGAGCCACATATTCGTGTACTTCATATCTAAATACATCTAGACGGACATAATCTGGTAGACTTAAAGTACAGACACGTTAATCTGACGGACCCAAATCCTTTAACATCACCATCTGCTTTTTGTAAACCTACTTACACTAATTATCTCATATATAGAAGTAAGTTTTTAAAACAACTCATCGTTACTTATAGTTGTGAACAAATCGAGGCACGCCGATGGTTTCCACAGCCGCTACAGGGATGTGTGTAGTGTAGCTCCAGTAGAACTTGTAATGATTACAGTTTTATTGTTCACCACTCTCAAATAGTATATTACTGATTTAGTAGTCCAATTATAAAGTTAGTAATTACTAAGTATTCAAATAACAAAATCGTTCTGAGTCGCGCATGGCTACTTCCTTTCCTGTGTGTGTCATAAGAGGCGACTAAGGGAGGGTGAGGGATAGGCAGAAGTGTCCCTTTTAAAAAAAAAAAAAAAAAAAAAAAAAAAAACTTCTCCAAGGCCTTACTGGCATTGTCCATTAACACTTCAGCTTGCTTATTCTTGGGGCTATATTTTTTGTTTATACAACTTAGAATGGCAAACAAGCTGACGGCCCACCTGATGGAAAGTGGTAACCGTCGCCTAGAGACATAAGCAGTACCATGGACATAAAAGAGTATACTGTTTCGCCCATGATACCCCCATGCGTTGCCATTCCTGAGGACTCGGGTGTTATTCCTCCGTACCCTGTAAATTCACGCCATATCTCACCCTTCAAACCAAAACACAGCCATGCAAACACAACTGCTTTACGATTGAAACACGAATGGGATAGAGGTACTCAAGCAATCGACTTTTGTACAGTCCCCCTCTGGTATATCAGCAACTTTGGTTCTTTAGCGTTCATCTTCATTTTGGATTCTGTCACACAAGAAACTCCTAGCGCAGCCCTCTTAGTAGTCCGCTGAGTAATTTAAAGCATTTGCACACGGACAACCGTGTAGGAGCATGCTTCGGTTCCAGGAGTCATCACTGAAGTTAAAACTGATGAAGGAGAAAGGCAAAGTAATAAAATACACAGTGATTATACTCTCAAAGAGTTTAATTTGTTCTTGGAACTGTGAGTAGGTACATTCTTCGCGCATATTTATTATATCCTTACAATAGATATTATTATCTCGAACATTGTTAATTTCATTTTAAACTTTCAAAATATATTCAATTTCATCTAACATTATTACACTAAGTATTAATTAGTCAAGGATCACAAAAACAGTGGATAAGTCTAAAGTGTGTAGAAGTGAGAGGGGCCGCGATGAGTCACGCCGACACTGCAGTTGCGTGGTTGTACTCGCAGAGTGAATGCAACGCACAGCGGTGCAGCACGGTGCAGCACGGTGCGGCAGCGGCGCGGATGAACAGAGATACACAGCTGCACACGCTTGCACACGCTTGCACACGCCGCACCACGCGCACACTTATTGATCAATATGATCAACATTAGTATTTATAAAATATATAAATAAGTTTACATTCAATGTTAAAGCTACACTATCATGCGCTATCACCAAGCATCGAATGAAACTATTATGTATCAACATATATAAAAAAAAATATTAGACATAACAATGGGGACCACATCAAATATCTGTTAAATTTTATATAAGAAACTGTTGTAGTACTTCACAGAATATACACACACATTCAAACACACACACTCACACTTACATACACGCTAAAAGGCATAAATAAAAAAAAAATACGGAACAGTAGGAATGTGTAATGTACAGTAATTAAAGATAGATTTTGATATTTTTTTCTAATTTACAGGATTTGTTCCCACGTCCATGTCGCTTGCTAATTATGCTAAGATTAATGTAAATTATTAAGAAAGCCATATTTATTTTAAGTGAGTAACAACACATATGTATACACTACAGAAAATGAAACAGACTGTAATCGTTGTACGTAAAAGAAGTATAAATAGGCCACCGTGTATCTAGCTACCTACACAATTAACGATTAATACATACATACATACAATAGGGAGACGACATGGAATGAATTTACGATCAACGCACAGACGATATAATACTGTGATCAAACTAACATCAACTTACCTAACTTACCTATTGGCACCATTCGTACATAATTCTAATAGACGAGCTAATCAACGTAGAATATAACAAACTAAGTACTTTGATGCGAACATATTAAATATATATATATGCGATGTGACAAGGACTATCATTTCAGATGCAGTATCCCGAGCTGCTCTGCGGACTGTTGGCGCGAGTGTTGGCCACGCAGTGCACAGGCAGCGCCAAAGAATGAATCGTCGCTAGTTCCGCTTGTAGAATTCAACTAAATTAACTTTTTCTTATGGTTTAACCATAAGAATAAAGTTATGCTCCAACATGGCCATCTCGCCACGTCCACGGCAACAAGTGCAGCCTGTCAATATACTCGTAACATTCACCGCATTTAGCTCATGTTCAAATACACAACTCTACCGTTTGTTGTTATTGTTATGTAATAAATAATTAAACCGTATTCATAATAACGAACACATTCACAAGATATTCTCGTATTTCATTATTGCCGTAACATTCTATTCTAGTTAATTACAACAGTAGTGATTTCTACATTTAATGAAATAATTTACATAACTCCAAATATTAGTGAATTACAATGTGAAATGAACATAGTACAGCGCATAATTTGTGCGTCGATATCGTAACGGCAGGTGACATGTCGTATGTTTGTATGCGAGTAGACGTCAGTGCACCGCGGCCACGGGACCACGGGACCACGGGACCACGGGACCACGGGACCACGGGACCACGGGACCACGGGACTCATCACGGACTCTTCACACTTGTTTACATCACTTAAAGCTTTACAATCTTACAATAAATTATATTTAACGTTACCTAACTAACTAACTTGTACTTTATTTATCTAAAAAATAAATAAATCGATGCTCGACCGGCGCCACACAATCATTATTCTCTTTTATGATTCATTGGAAAACTGTACAATGTTTATTTTCATTTAATTTGTCGAAGATTATACTAGATCGTGAAAACGAACAATGAAGACGTTTGCGTTAAGGAAACATAGCATGAGAATGAGCAAAGAACGGACCAATTGTAAGTAAGGAGTAATGATTGTCCAGAGCCGCAGCCACCGAGCTACTGCTATCACGACCTGATAATGTGTTTGCTTGCCTAACTTGAAACAACAGGCAGTACATTGTGATAATATGAATGCCCTGTAATAGAAATATATTATATATCATATTGCATCACAGCACTGGCGACGAGGCGCATCGAATCCACGAAGGCGAACTTTACCCGCGTATGTCTTTTATAAATATATATATAACGTATATATCTTTTGTGGAAGCTATAAAAATATCATGTTTTATTGAAGTATTTGAAAGCGATCGGCCTCCGACAGCGAGCGGCGAGGCGGTTCCTCGTCCCCGAACATAGCTGCACAGCCATAAACCTTCCACTCTATATTCCTATTAAAATATTCGAATCTCCATAGACATCTAAGTAACAAGACAGTTTTACATCGACGCGTACGAGCGCCGATAAATTCGTAGATCACCCGAGGGCATGGAAATATTTACACATAGTAAATTTATCAATAAAGGAATTATTCGTTTCTCTTACTCAATAGTCTCTTTGCAAAAATTATATCTCTCCTTTCCAAAAAATATCACACTCCTTTGTCAAGCTAATCTCAAAAAATATGTTTTGGTGGCAAGGTAGCCGTAGGATATATATCACAAGAGTGAGCGCGCGCCGCAGCGAGGGCGGTGGATGCGGTGGATATGCGGGCTCAGGCTCAGGCGTGGCCCGCGGGCGGCGGCTGCTTGCGCGGCTGCAGGCGCTCGTCGGCGGCCAGCAGCCGGTCCAGCTCGTCGTCCTCGTAGAACACCACGAAGTGCTCCGGCTTGGCCACCGCCTCGAAGATGGAGCACACGGACGGCTTGACGTTGTAAAAGTAGAGCGGCTGGCGGCGCGCGTGGAAGTCGGCGGTGAGCTGCTCGATGCTCTTGGCGGCGGTGTAGTCGGCGCTGTAGATGTGCGTGCACTCGATCACCACGGGCACCGAGCTGCTCGCCGCGCACTTGGTCACCAGCCGCCGCACGTAGTCCACCGACGGGAACATCAGGCAGCGGTCCGGCGTTATCATCAGGTACTCCACGCCCGCCTCCGTCTGCAACGTTACACCCGTTTGTATATCGCGTACATAACCGACACTTCCCCGAGAGCGAGAACCGTCCTCTACAGGTACTATTACACTACTACACGGCAGATAACGCGGAAAATACATTCTCATCACTGATATTCCACGTAGGTACTTGTTGCCTCTCTTGATAACCATGAAGTTATGCTTCTTACCAGTAATTATTTATTGAACACTTTATTGCACCAATATTACAGGACTTGATGAAGGATTTCCAATAAGCACAGTGTAGTACTCGTATAAGGTGGAACTTAGCAAGCAATAATACCACCTCTACACTATGTAAATAAGCACAATTATATGCTATATATATATAGTAATTGTGATCGATATAAAGGACTAAGTGATTATAAGGTTAGGTAGTGAGATTTAACTAAGTTTTTGAAAATAGCCAAAGACTGAGCACACCGCAATATCCTACTGATCGTATTGTAAATATAGACAAGTGGGCAGTACGCCCAGTACCCAGGATTCTTCTTCCTTCACAATCGGCTAATTATATATACAGATGAAATTCGTCGTTAGATATTACAGAAACAGGTGGGTGTACGCCTGAGTGGCGGTCCACGATACCTTCAGCATCTCCACCGTGAACTTGGGGCGCGCGGCGTGGTACAGGATGAAGATGATATTGACCACGACGCCGGTGAGGATGCCCAGCTCGAGCGGCAGCGTCAGGCACAGGACAAACGTGCCGATCCCCGGTATTAGGTCCAGTTCTAGAACATACATATACTATTAGTTAAACATAATACAAAATCATGTTTTAGTGCAAATATGAACCAATCCTTAGCAATGTTATAAATGTGAAAGTGAGTTTGTTTGTGACCTTATAGCGCCTTAACAGCTTAACAAATCACTATGAAATTTGAAATACACAAACTAAATGGGATGGAGAAAGATATTGGCTACTTTTTATCGTTATGAAGTTGATAACCGGTAGCAAAAGTCGAATTGTTAGAAGAGACCAGGGAGTGCTCACTCTTAGCGCGCCACATGGGCTTCAACACGTTGTACTCGACCATGAATAGAATGGCGGAGATGATGACGGCAGCGAGCGCCGCTTTCGGGATATACTCGAAGTACTGCGTGAAGAATTGGAGCGCCATGATCACCATCAAACCTGGTACAAGACAATTTGTTAAAGAATTTAAATTATGCATGTCGGTACATTACATGCATTTTCTTATTTTTATTACTTAAAGATTTTAGCTACGCATGAATGTAAATTAAATAATAAAAAAAAAAAAAAAAAAAAAAAAAATAGAGCTAACATTTATAATAAGCACGTTGAGTATTATAAATAAAGTGACCACACTGGTGCTGAGTACAATGTATATGTATTGATAACATGAACATAACGTTCTGATGTAAGTAATGTAATGCGCATGCAATACCAGCATTGTAACAGCGAGTAAGTACCCACCCGTGTATAGACCGTTGAAGGTGGTCTTCACGCCGGAGCCGTTGGCGACCACGGAGCGCGCCAGCGAGCCGCCGCCCGGGTACGCCTGCATAAACGAGTTGCCGATGTTGGCGATGCCGAGAGCGATCATCTCCTGCGTGGCGTCGACGGTGCGCCCGTCAGAGAACGCCTTGCAGATAGAGATGTCCTCGAGCAGCACAATCAGCGGGATCACAATGATACCCGAGCCCAGCTCCGACACCATCTCGAGGAAGTCGGCGGTGGTGTTGTCGGCGCGCTGGTAGCTGAACGGCGGCGGCCGCGGCACCGGCACCCCCGACGGGATCGCGCCTGTGCAACACGCCGCTCTCACTCATCACTGAATTTACCTCACCACCGACACCATGGTGCCGGCTGACTTTGAAGAAAAATTGAGGATGAAAATGAAACTACAATGTGTAAAACGTGCAGCGGTGAGTCTACTCTACTCTAGATCCTAGATGACGTGTGAGTGTTGCCAAGTGTTGGCGATGTTGATTCGTGTCGGGTGAGGCTCGCTACTAACCGCCAGGAATATTGTCGGCTGGTGTAGGCATAAAAAAGAGAAGCACCAATAAATTCATTGAACAATTACTTTGACTTGGACGAATAGGATTATTATTATTTTTACTCCATTATTTATAATTAATTAATAATCAATAAAAGCATTAGATTCATACTGGTATTGGTGTGGAGATGTATATTGAAAGACCTACCCATCAGGCGGACGGGCGAGGCTCCGTGCGCGGCGACGAACCAGAAGCCGAGCACGCCGCTCAGCACCACCACGATCGCGTTCCGGCACGTGCCCAGCAGCCACATCACTTTGGTCAACACTTTCTGCCGCGTGCTGGGGCCGTTCTCATTGCCCGCGCCCAGTTTTATCATACCGATTTTCTGTAAACGAAGAAAATATTCCCAATGATGATTTGTGTCGACATTCTGAAGGCATGGACCAATCGCGCATGGACAGTTGAATGGAGAATGGATTTCAAACACAAATGTATTTAATGTGAAATTGAAAAATAAAATGAAATAGAAATTAAGTGTACTATTAAACTATATGCGGAGACATTAATGAGATATGATTAATAAATTGAACGATAATCCGCTTGCACAATATAGAGACGATGCACCGTCGTTAAGTACGGGTATTTGTAATGTTGCACGTAGCTCGATTTACAAAATACTTAGGTTATCTACTTAAACAAACAAGAAACACTTACTCTCATGAGCAACAGAAGTATAATGCAAATGAAGCCGAGCACGGGATCCCAGAGCGATGCGGTATGTATGTTGCTGAAGATAGATATCCACTGCTGCAGGAACGTGGCGCCGGTGACGGTGATGGCGAACAGGTCCTTGACCTGCGAGGTGGCGATCATGAGCGCCACCGCCGACGTGAAGCCGGAGGACACGGGGCCGGACACGAAGTTGATCAGGAAGCCGAGCCCGAGCACTCCCATCAGAAGCTTCACCAGTCCGGACAGGAAGGTGAGTAGAATGGCTTTCTCGATGACGCCCTCGGCTATCTGCCACGTGAGCAGGGAGGCGATGGCGGTGGGGCCGGCGGGCACCGCGCGGCACCCGCCCAGCACGATGTAGATGAAGCAGCCCAAGAACGAGCCGTACAGACCGTGCTGTGGCGGCAGGCCCGCGATGTTGGAGTACGCCAGCGACTGCGGGATCACCGTCAGGCCCACTGTGATCCCCGCGATCAGGTCGCCCACTGCCTTTTCCGTGTTATACCTGACGGTAAATGAAACTGATATGAAGTCACGTGACATTCGACTTGGCAAGCCTTTGTATTTATTGTTTAGAGCAAATGGAGCGAACAGGACGGACTACTATCGTGTGATAAAGATCTTTATGTATACTTGCAACCAGAAAATTGGTATACATGCAAATAGGTAATGTATACATGAACGAAGATATACGTATATATTTGAATATGTAAGAGGACATGTTTTAACAAAAATCTCTCCATCAGATACTCACTGCGGCAGCCATGCGGTTATGGGTATACGTTTATGAAGAGTCTTCCGATTGATGCGTCGCCGTAATGCAGACCGCCATCCCTCCCGCGGCGCGCCGTCTGATACTGGCCATAAAATGTAAAACAGATTAACTAGTTGTACAGCATACCTAATTGTACAAATACCAAGCGATCATTTGTTACAATTGTATCCAATTATCCAAGGCATTAAGATACCACGGGTTAGTGAAGCGAGTGATTGTACTATAAATAGGTGTAAAGGCCTCCGTAGACGACGCACATTTCGTGCGACAAGTCAACTTTTCATTGTCTGCAACGTGATGTCCATAGTTTACGCAGAGGTCTTAGAATGTGAATGCGGCATGAATAGACGGCGATGTGCTCGCTACTTACTGATGTAGTCGTTGCTGGCGTGCTTGTCGTCGGGCGGCGGCAGCGAGCCCGACGACGCGTTGTGCTTGCGCCGCGGGATCATCCTGCACATACAATACAAACACATGTACAGTACATGGTCGTACAGTCGTTACACACAGCACATACATTCTGTATGACTAATCAATTTATTACTTTGTAAAATAAGTAGCCTGTTTGTTTTACGCAGATATTGTATTCTTGTACTGTGGACAATCCGCGATGGGCACTTGTTTAAACAGCCGCTCTGGGACACAAGCGCCGCTCGAGCATTCGCATACTCAGCCGGCAATAAATTTGGCAGAAACGTGTCAAAAATCTTAAATTAGTTTTATATAGATAGACGCAATTTAATACTTATTAAAAATCTAAGCATGTATTTAACTGGCAGCTAGCTATTTCTTGCGGTTTCACTCGCGCGTAACCCTCTTTACGTGTATATTGTTTTTGTCGAAATTTCAGGAAAAACCTTAGCTGTAAATGTCCATATGCATTGCATAAGATTTTCATCTCATTCTCAAAAGAGACCAGTCATTTGTGGTGATCGGTCGTCAGGTAGAAATTTTATATCGTATTCGTGTATAAAGTACCTGAGTGCAAAGATATTATTAGAAGATTCGATTGAATGAATCAAATTTGTATTCGTTCTTCAAAATAGTTCGTTAATTTGTCGAAATACGTTAGTCTGAGAAATAAATATGAGGAAATAAACAAACGAACATATTCATATTGAAGCTCGCTAAAATCATGCCTAATCGTCCTTTATACTTTGCAATTGCCAGGCAATAAAACGCAGCCGTGACGGTCGATCGGTAAGAGGAAAGGTGATTATTTCACCTCTTCTCGCGAAAGCAACGATGTTTATTTGAGATCCACTAGATCCTAGAAGCGTGTTACAGTAGCCCTGAAACACTTCTGTGTCGAATGAGTTACTTATTCAGATCAAATTGGGTCAGGAGTGCAGCAGCAGCGCCCGAGGTCGCCGGGAGTCGAACTGTTCTTATTGTTTACGCGTCCGCGGCGCGCACACCGCACCGGGTGGCTCGCGTACTAGTTTGTTTTTCTAGCGCCGTGCGAGGGTATTATTTCAACATTAACACTGTCCCTGCGTAATGTACTGCTGTACGTAATGAGAAGCGATCCTATCCTCTAACAAATGTAATCAAATTGTGCAGCTATACATTTAATATGGTATTGTAAGGATATATTAATATTGTAAATGGACGATTCCCGATCATGGGGAGTCACTAAGAGCAATGGAGGCTTAAATAATAATTTTTAAAATAGTAGAATTGGAAATCTCCTCCTTTTGAAGTCAGTCGATTACAATTACTAGTTCCTGAACATGTGTCGTTGACTGATAAGTTCCTTGGTATAAACATGTAGCATCTGGATTAAAAAATATTATTAGTTTAATTCATTAGATTGATTGGAACTGCATTGTGCTTAAAAAAATGTCAACAACACCGCTACAGTACTGTGTACTACGATACCTGCCCACCTACTCGTATACGAGGAGCTTTTCCTTCAGTTATTCATTACATTATACATACACTAGTACACACAACGTGATAATCACAACACACGCACACACGCACACACCTGTATACAAAACTTCAAAAGTTCAATGTCACGTGTGTTGGAAGCGGGTCTCCGTCCGTTAGAGTTTGTGCGGACATTTTGGTACTTACATGCTGAAAATTTTCCATTCCAATTTAAAATAAAAAAAAAAAAAAAAATAGATAAATTATTATTACATGTTATTGTTTGCTTATTCTCAACAATTTCATTTTGTAACCAAAAGGTACAGACTTTTTCTGATATGTTAAACTGTTTAAGGACACTCAGGAAGGAAGTTCGAAAGGCAATATCATACACCTACCTAATTAAACAAATTATAAATATCTTTTTCAATTTTTCATTAATAACGTAGGAAGTTTGAAGTAAGTCATAAAGAGTACCTATCTAATAATATCGAGTCGAGCCCTCTGACACTCAGTTTTATTTCTCAAGACAACGGAACGAAAATCAGTACTATCTAGAATGTGTGAAACGAAGAGCGAAGCCTAGTTATTAACAGATATAAAGGCGCAGAATGTCCCGAGTCGGAGGAGCAGCGAGGCCGCCGCCACATGTTGGTAAAGTAATCAATAAAGTTGTACAGCTACTCGTACAGCTTACTTGCACTGCTGTCCGACGATACACTCATCATACATTTCATGGCATTCAATGTGAATTAGTCATACGTCATGCGTACTACATACGAGTATGAGTATGTGCCGAGGTCTGTGTTTACCTGGCCCTTGTAAAAAAGGAGAGCAATGTCTTTCAATTGTATGTACATATATATGCATTAATGTAAATATTATATAGGTAAGTATTTTCAGGTTTTTGTGACGTGTAATATATCATAATTTTTTTATAAACATCGCAGGGATATGTTACACAGAAGTTGTTCTGTATGGGTACTTATGTCCCAGTCGTGTTTCGACCGCCTGGCGACCGTGTTTGCGTGGCTGATTCAGGTACAGTATGGTACTGAAAATACGGGGTACGAAAGCACGAAACCTTCGGCTTCATAAATAGCAATTTAATTTGTTCCTTTATTTCTTTGTAACGTGTAATGAAAGCCTTTGCCGTTTGTAATTGCCGGGGTTTATTCCAGTGTCACCGATGCCGTATCACGGTTGTGTTAGCAACAACTATTGAAGTTGTTAGCGACTACTAATTTCACATATAATAGACAAAGAACTATGGTTACATAATAAATATTTTTAGGGTTCCGTACCTTCAGTTGTAAAAAACGGAACCCTACGCGTGGAGGTATCAAGATGAAATTAATATCATATACTCAGGTCTGCAATCTCTTAAATCAGCGAATCAAGCTTCTAAATCGACGCAATTAAAAGATATGGACCAGCCGTTTACGTTTCATTTATATCGTATACTTTAACATTCGCAAAGGGAATTAAAACCTATAGGGATTCAATTGATCTAGAATTATGGAAATTGGCAAGAAGCAAGGACATGTAGTACAAGTAAGGGGAAAAATCCGAAAAACTTAAATTGATGACTTTGTACGAAACCCTCGTTGCGCGAGTCCGACTCGCACTTGACCGGCTTTTTTCATTATGTGTAACATTTATTTATAATACAATAGGATTGACTATTCAACCACCGACAAACGTACCTATCAATAGTACCTTCTCTCGTTCATTTCAATTATGTACGTCATTCCAACTAATTACGTTACTAATTATTTATTTAAAACTGATCGTCGATTCGCACTTACTAATTCTAGTTGTTCTAGTAGTAGTTGGACTAATTCTTCACGGAATTATTCGCTACGGATATTATTAGCTGCAGCGTAGTCTCTGATTAGCTGCTGAATGCACACGATACAAATGAACTAGAGTTTTACTTCATAGAAGTCTGTTTATTCGATTCGTCTTTTTATACTAGCAATTTATTTATTAGTCCTTGGAATGAAAATATAATGTATGTGAAGGCGGCTTCGCTTACGCGGGGGAATTTATTCTCGCAAATCGCGTTTATTTTTGTCAATGATTTTATGTATATCCCAAATTGTAGAAATATAGGGATGTAAAAATAAGTCTGTCCTTACACAGTGTGCCTCAGTGTGCCTAATTGGCGCGTCAACGTTATATCTCAAACCGACTCAGAGATAAAGTGCATACAAACAATTGGAAATATTGACAAGCAATTGAAAACTATATTGACGTATCGAATACATCTGTACACCTCGTATCTGATACGGACTTGATTGATATAATTATCTGACACGTTGTTTACTACACGCGCAGTACGTACACACTTTTTGTCAATTCTTATATTCTCAAATATCCCGCATCCATCAAAAAATCATGAGGTAATTCACGTGTCACGTCCGCGTCGGCGGCGCGTATCGGGCTGCTCTGGCGTATTAACGTCACGGTAATATCTCTGCGCCCGTATCGATGGTCTTGTAATAAGTAAGCTTATTGGATTTCTGATAAATCCATATTCCGATATTGCGGAGTGTGTATCTGCAAAATTGTGTCGTATTTTTAGTGAGAGGCAGGTGGCGGTGCGCTTAGAATTCCCCGAGCGAACACCCAAACGGAACTGTATTGTTACGGCGACGCGGTACCTACACCCAGCATGCCTGTCACAGCTTCCTAACTTCTAAATGGAACGAGACACATGCCACATGCTACATGCCGCTTGACAATAAGACAAAACAAGCACTTTTCAGAAATGGATATTATATTAGCTTACAAAAACGTGTTTATACTTAAGATGAGCTGGTTATAAACCTTTTGCATATGCCAGTTATTACACATGGGAATTGAGCTATTTTGAAAGCGCGAGGGAGAAGTAAGAACAATATTATTTATTGCCTGATTAACTATTAAGTCACAAAAGGCATCTGTTGATGATTGCAACCTTCTTTATTTTAATAGCAATATATTCTTTTTATTTATCAGTCACTGTTCTTGTTTTGTTTTTTCATTACATAATTTTCTATCAAATATACGGAAGCAATTTATTATTAAAAGACAATTATTTATTTAATATTCACCATAAAACTGGGAAATCCGTCATGCTCCCCAACAGCATCTACTTAGGAGCTGAAGGTAGTATAATCTACTAAAGGTTTGTGGAGATTCCCATGGAAACGGGAGCAAATGTATTGACGCAGGCGAAGCTACGGGCACACATCTAGATTTAGTATAACTTATACACGTCCTATACAGCTATTTAAAGAGTTATAGGAATGTTAATAATAATGAATGTATCGAAGTCTTGTTAATTAGGTACGGACACTTGAATACTAATACAAGACAAACAGAAAAAAAAAGAGATAATGATGAGATGAAACGAGGAACATGTTAGTTGATACAAGCAGTAAACTTATAATTTATAGGCAGCTCCTACAGCGTACGCAGTACAGAATACAGGTTCTTTGGAACATGACGTAAAACGTCAGGACTACAGCAAAACACCGCAGCGGAGGGCAGTTCGTAGTACGTAGTACGTACCCGTATTCGTACGTGTGCGCTCG